GACAATACCATTGCATTTATATACAGTCAATGATACTACGCAAATTAAACCGATTCCGGTTTTCGACATATTGAAGCTAACGTTGGAGCAAGGTTCTCCTCCTTGGGAAATGAGTTGCTAAGGTATCTCGAGCTTCTTTCGCATTTTTCGCGGACCACACACATAACCAGATATGATGATTAGATCCTCTTGAATATTTAGTGACAAAGATTGCCAAACCATTTAAATTTTATCGCGTAGATAAGGTTTCAAGGGGAATGTAGTCAATTTGCTCAGTAACTGCACCAATCCGCCAAAAATACAAACGGTCTCACGATGCGCGGAATTCTAACACTTTGCTGTAAGTTGACCAATAGCCTGTAATGCTGTAATTCACTAAAATTTTTAGACGTACTGATTTGGACTGCGCCAGTATCTAAAGCGGAAGATATTGTATTACTAAAACAGAACGAGGTTTCGCTACGTCTTTCGCCGGAACAAGGCAGGCTTGCGTTAACCGTATCTGATGGTATGCTATGAATCCAGAGACTTGGTAATCTCATTAACATTGTCATAGGTGAAACATTAAAATTAAAGGGAAAGATCGGTGTTCGAGCATCTGAACCGTTTACTCCATGCGACGGTGGCGTTAGAAATTGCTTCATGGTAGGTGATGGCATGCTCCAAGTAAGCACGCACCTGGATTACGGCTTTACAATACATTGGTCGACGAATAACACCAGAACGGAATTCGAGGACTGTTTCGATCTCGACCCTTTTCATTGGTACGGTGGTCCGGAACAGATAATGCAATTTTGGCCAATAGAAAAATTAACCCTGATCAATTTTGCAAACGTTGTGCAAGAATATCAGCACGGTGCTGTGATCGAACCCTACTGGTTAAACTCTGCGGGCGCCTTCATCTTTGTCGATCATAAGGTCCCGCTATTTATCAGTCAAAATGGGGATGAATCTGAGAGGAAAGTGTGCTTCTCAGCGAAGGGCACCTCGCCGTACTCACCAACTCGTAAAAGGGTTAGTAACATCTTCACGTTGTCATCAATATCATTTTTGCCAATTTTAGGTAACGCTAGCTTACACAATAGGTATAAAGGAAAATGTGCGCGAAGCACATTTGCACGCAGTAAAGGATTTCTTAGGCAAACCAACCGGTAATACACACTAATCAAAAACACTTCTAATTAGGTACTGTAATGCAGGTCATCCAAATTACAAAATCATTGAAAGGCCGATTTGGTCGACTTGGGCTAGGTATAAGAGGGACGTGAACGATGAGGTTGTGCGCGCTTTTGCCAAGGAGATTGCTGACAATGGATACACGAACGGACAATTTGAGATCGATGACGATTGGGAGGAATGTTATGGAGCTCTTACGTTCAGAAGTTCCAAGTTCGCAAATATTTCCAAAACCGTTGATTACATAAAGTCGTTTAATTTTACGGTGTCGTTATGGGTTCATCCCTTTATCAACACGGATTGCGTGGACCATTTAAGTGTGGCAAGGGATAGAGGTAGGTAGCCGTATGAGTATTATTGCAACATTTATTATCTTTGTTTAGGATACCTTATTAAGAACTTTGAAGGCAGTGACCTGACAACGTGGTGGAACAGTGCAAGTTACAAAGCTACTTATTTAGATTTCACCAAACTAGAAGTACGGGAGTGGTTTGCTGGGAGACTTAAATCTCTGCAAAAAAATTATGGTATAGATAGTTTTAAATTCGACGCGGGAGAAACGTCTTGGACCCCTAAGGTATTGCCATTTCATTTTAAATGGTGTAAAATCATTCTGGTTTTAGATACCACAACTGCAAGGCGACGAAGAAACGATGCCGAACGTACTTTCTGAGAATTACTTGCGAACGTGCGCTGAATTTGGAGATCTAATAGAAGTCAGAGCTGGATGGAGAACTCAAGATTTACCTATGTTCGTGCGAATGTT